GGGCAAGATCTAAAAAATAAAGGCTTATGCTAAGTTCACCTGACTTCCTCTCTCTCTCACCCTCAAAAAGAAAGAACACACAGTTCTTCATCTAGACATAGGAGCTTACGTAGATCCTATGGGCATGCATATTGCCACTTCAAGAACCACATTAGTTCCTGACATTCCCCTTACCCACTCGAGTTTCACTAACTTGACCGTCGGAGGAACCACGGGGGAACCAGTCACCGCCCTCTCATGGGTTCTTCTTGTCTGTGCAGTGTGGACATCAAGCCCCCGTTCAAGAACCAGGCATAAAGTTGAAGAAGGAAGCAGCCCCTCCATCACTCTCCCTTGCCAATTCCAGATGAGGACTCAAGGGGGACTGATCCAGTTCCGGATCAGAACCGATCCCAGCACGGATCCGATTGACTATTTGCTCGTAGTCATCAACAGTTTGATGCCCACCATAGGGCTACTTTTCTTTTTTTGAGAAGACATGCCAAGTTCTGAATAAGGATCTGATTCTACTCACCTTGAAGAATAACATCGGAGTTGCATCATCCAAGCTAAATGAAGTCAGGAGTTACATCATTCAAGCTAAGGAGGGTTAGCTTTGGCTAAGAGGAACCAACATAGGCGTAGTCCTCGAAGACCTCAACTTCTTATCTGGAGAGTGTTTGCCAAGCACACCATTTTCTAGATGGTAGAGTGACCTTCAACCCCCTTAGAAAACCCTCAAGAAGAAGACATACCATAAGGGTGGTTGTCTTTCTTGAAAAGCAACCCCGACTTCTAATTGTCATCACGGAATAACTCTGGCCATAACATAGGATCCGATCAAGCCAAATATCACTTAAGATCCAACTGGCAATAGCTCATATGAGTGTAGGAGCGGTGATTAAGTCTGTGATAAGCACCTTGGACCATGAGGATTCTTAGAAGGGAACTCCCATATACCAGGGATGAGATTGCGGGAAAAGTTTAGGGCCTATCAACTGATTGTCTTCTTAGAAAGAATAACCTTGGCCCTTCTACTGACGCCTGCACCACTAAAGTTGCCTAAGCTTTGATGGTCAAAGCATGCGACCCTGTTCGCGGGGAAAGTTGGTGTTTTCTTCATTATCGATTCCATTGCACTCAGTTAACAACTTTATGCGTTACAAAGAGATCCGGTCTTTTTATAAGATCCGGCTTACAATGAAAATCAAAATAAAACAAAGAAATCAAAATTACAACTTCTCTCTTTTATGTCGAACAAATCACAAGATCCTGTTTTGCGGTCTCTTGCTTCTGTGGGTTGTTTGCCTGCGCCGGGGTTGCTTACCGTGGACCACCGCGTGATCTGGATCCAAGCAGATCTACGACGTATTACGGGTATTATCCCACCAAGGAGATAATAGCCGGGAGGGATCGTTTCACCAAGGAAACGACCGCTCGAATCTCGGGATCTAAGAACCAAGCTTAGATCCGGAGTGTAACGACGTAGATCTGAGGATTAGACTCTCTCGAACTCCTGCCTTTTTCGGTGCGGGTGCTCGCTAAGAATCAAATCCGGGTCTCCAAGTCTTCAAGCCTTCAGATCTCCGAGTTGAGGTGACAATCCGGCAGAGTTTCGGCTCTCTCAAAAGTTTCAGAAGAAGTCCCTCAAATGAACAACCACCCCCCCTATTTATAGCCTCTCTGAACTGTGCCTTTGTGCACAAGAGAGAGAGGGGGGGGAGTCGGGCCACCTGAGGGTGGCTCGGCTCATGCCGAGCCACCCTGAGGTGGCTCGGC